GTGTTGCTTTGGAAAAACCCCCCAAGTGGTGATTTGAAAGCATTGGCATTTTTCTCTAAGCAATTTAACCTAAGAAATTATCTTACATAATGCTCGGTACAAAACTGCCGAAAAGTTAGCGGTACGTCCCTTCACCCCTTTTTACAAGGACACTCGTTTTCCCTATATAATGAGCATGGATAAATGAAAAATATTCCATATAACAACCAGCCGCAATTTTTCAACTCACGTCAAGTGTGCAACCGAGACGCAGCATACCACATGTGCATACAACGCCGTTGCGGATGTAATTTCTCGAGTCCGATGGTTCTTTACCGTCACCGGCATCAATATAAGACTGGAAGTTATAGCCGTGGCACTTCTAAATGATTTTGAGATTGGTTTATTACGAAGGTCTCCCTTTGTGGACACGTGACTTATTTCAATGATAGTATCAGACGGAGTAGGTATTGCTGCTCGGACTACGTCAAATTGTGCAACACGAAATTTGGCACACATGTTCGGTACGACGCATGTTTTGTCGCACCTTGGCATTCGTTCATTAGTTATGCCCTTAACCTACAACTTCTAGAGCAAGTTCAGCGATCCGCTTGCGACTGGGCCCATGCTTACCTTCCATATCAGCTTGTTATGGTACGATCCACGGGAACGGTCGGTTAGGTGCATTTTAAACTTCATATGCAAATCACATTTGCAAGTGTGTTGATGCAGCATATCATTTATGATATCCCAAATACTTAAAATACTGCATATATAATCATACCAAGTTTGCTCGTTTTAATTTAAGCTAATTGGAACAGTTGAACAATAGAACAAGTTCTTTTTCTTTTTGAATTATCATTTGTCAAATACATTTTTTAGAGTTGCAGGTATTTCGGACAATATATTCTATAACCCAGTGACGATCGAGGAAAAAGTTATATTTGGCGTATGTATCACTTATGATTCAACCGCAACCGGACTTTGGTTACAACACTCCACTAGTAAACATGGTGGCTAAGACACAGGTGAGGGTAAAACCGAAAACTCAGCAACACAAACTACTGTAACCTGAGGTCAGACAACAAACCAAGTTTTGCCTACTTCGGCGGCACGTATCATTCATCAAGTAATATGTATATGAACAACCCAGTGCAGCAACATACGCTGGCAGACAGAAACACACGTCCTACCGCTAAAGGCATGGCCACATACTCGTCCGTATTCTTTGCTCAAGAACCAGCAGCAAGTTCTATGGCTACATCTGACGAGATTATACAGTGCACCAGAAGTCCCACGCTGGCACACCTCAATGCATCAAGAATTCGGATGCCATTCTCTCACGAAATGGTTACGTCTAGATGATTCCCTGAAAATCGTACCTTCCAGTTTTCCTTAATCTAAAACCAACTCCATCAAAGACACTGTTGGACGACATTTCTCCATGCTAAACCATTTAGCAGGTTGCGTATCGACCCACTACATGGAAACACGACTGATATGAGTGACGGAATGATCTTTTCTCGACTGCTTATCATCGGACTAATAAATGAAACGCTTGAATTTCTCCAACTTTCTTTAAAAATGAATGTCAAAAGAGAAATTATAACGCTGATGTCTCTCATCAGTTGAACATTGGAAAACCAACCCATATTCTTAGCATCATGGAGGTCCAAGCCTGTGATGGACTTGAAGCTCAAGCACTTTATTGGGAGGAATGGCGCTACTCTCGTTAAGTATTTACTTGACGACCGCCAAATCGATCGCAAGGCAACCCTCATCATCAGTTTACAAAGTACGTAATCCAAAGTAATGAAAGTTTTGCTCCAGTCCAAACACATGCAACTAAACGAGTTTGACAAGTAACGAACATTGCGTAAGAAGCTTCACTTCGAGCCAGCTCTGGGTTAAATGTCACAGTCATCAAAAATCGATCGGTTACCGATCACTCATTCATCGGCAAAAGCACGCATCGGACATCTTTATTCGCGGATACTATTTGGAAACTCAGTGTTTTCTTTTAGTTTTACTGACGTTCAGGGAATTCACAACAATTTATCTAAGCTTTAATCTCGACTAACTTTGATGGCTGAATTAGAAAATGATAACTGAGACCGAGCTAAACGATTAAATCACTGATACGTAGATCACTTTACCAGGTATTTCAGTCCTACGTAAAGAACGAGCTAGTAGGTGGTGGAGTATATTTGTACTTTCGCTGTGACCTACATCTCCGAGTCATTGACGACCAGCAGCTTTCGGTTATGAACTTACTTTTGTGCTGTCTGCAAATAAGACGTGGGGACACATGTATATTTGCCGGCGTATACCTTCCCTTCATACATTGGAAATGTACTCCCGCCTAGCTTCTGCAAAAGAACTGTTATGGCGTAGCATAACACTCACGTTCTCCTCGTGGCATACATCAAATTGCATGCTTTAGTTTCCAGCCTTTTTTAGTGAAAGGGTTAGGGTTAAAATGCAAGAATTATGCTGTGCCATCACCTAATAATCATGCCACTTATCTTGCGATGTTCCAAACAAAAATTACTATCCATTTTGATCTTCGTGTTTACCAGCGAGGAACTTACGAACAACAGGTGAACAATGATTAGCCCCTTACGTCATAGTGATCGTGAACCACTGCCTTTCCGCTATGTCTGCTACGCAGAGCACTTGAACATTGACATCAAGTAGGTCCGCATCCTAACACATAAATACATTTTGTCCTACCTTATTAAGGTCACCGATCGTTCGTTCCTAGCTGAACAGACCCAGTAGTATCATGGAGGATGAATTCCTCGACCTGTTCAGCCCCTTAAAACAAACTCTTTGGAGACCAAAGTCCTTAGCCCCAAATTGTAAAGTAATTCCTGTGGAGTAGGGGGAGAATACGACAAAATCGCTCATGTGTCGCGAACCTGTTACTTGCAAGCAATAGCCGGACTGAAGCAATTGTTGGGGGACCAGGAGTCTATGTCATCTAGCTGGACTTCTCGAAAGCGTTTAAGCGCTTAGACCTGCGAATTCTCCCTTATTTACTTCAGATATATGGCATTCGTGACCCACTCCTGCGTTTGATAGGACATTTCTCTTACCAACGCCGCTGGGAGATGCGAGTACAAGGATCGCTCTCCGATGCAATTGAGGTGGAATGCAGTATACACAAGGTTTGGTGCTAGGGTTTCGTCTACTTTTGGTTTTTATAAAATATCCATTGATATCGAGTACTTCGATTTCATATGCTTCGTACATTAGATTGAGATTTGGCGTGTGATCACAGAACAGGACGACCACGGAAAGCTTCTGCTGACCCAATAAGATTTCGAATCAGTCAGTTCAGTATACACTATCATTCAAAGCCGAAAATATCTCGACCTGTTCGAATGCGACGTCAGCTTGAACACATGTATTGGCTGGGTTCGCACATATTGCAAACCCTTCCTCAGAACGCGACCTTAGTGTGCTCATTCAAAGTGACCTTGACTCATCAAAATAAGCTGAGGCAGCTGCGATAAAAGGCATCCACCAGGTTAGCTTGCTGCTGGGGTATTCGAAAGGTCTAACCCATCCATCTTCCGGATGATGCACAACCCTTACGTGGGCCCTCTCGTTGAATACGCCATCAAAGCTTTGCAATCTTGGTTGAATCGCAACTTTGTAGTGCTAGATACACCGCAATGAACCGCTGAAAGGTGCGTCAAGGATGAATGAAATCTGTCCAACCAGTAAGGCTGAAGTCACTGGAAATTTACTGAAAGCTGCAAGACAATCACCGATGAGTCAACCAAATATTAAGTGACTCTACTGACATATGCAGTCACCTAATGAAACTCAACCATTACACTAAATTCAAAGGTAAAAGAATAAATTAATGTGTCAGCTGTACACCGTGCAACAACCACCAGTCGCACGCGGGCGGAGTATACCGCAAGGACGCCCACCCCTACGCTGATCTGAACAAGCTCCACATGGTTACGAGACAAGCTCGTTACCTCTGGGATACGAGTCGATAATCTCAGAGGCAACTTCTTGAAAATGCATGAACAGTATAGCCGTCTGGAAAGTCAGTGAAATTATTTTTCTCTTTCATCCCTAGAATTCGCTTCCAAACTCTGTAGTTTCCTGTCCAAGTTGGGTATTTTCAAAAAATAATTGGATTTCGCTCTTGGCCTCCGTCTCTTCGTCGCCTAAGCTGCGCTAATGTGGAATGTATTACTTATATCTTAAATCCGGATTTACATGTCACAAACTTAAGTAGGTGGCACATGAGGATTTTAATGTTTTCATTTTCTTACGGAGTACATAATGCATAATTGCCCCATGTGGTCTTGTTTTGCATGCAATTCTCAGTTACACTATTGTTATTCAGCCACACACATCTGCTCGATAAACTCCCGAACACACAATGCACACATCCTTTGATAATTGTAGTTTTACCCCTACCAGCCTGCGGGACTTGTCAAGCAACTGCTTTTTTACCCGGGCTTAAATCATTGTTCTATTTCCATTGAGGCCTGTTCGTGTGGGACTGAGAGAGACGGTAAACATTGCTACATATTTTATATGAATAGGTCCTTCTCTGTGGATTCATCCGTATAAGGGAGTTTATATTTTTCCTTAAACCTTAACCACATCTAAGAGGTTAATGAATTGCTAAAATATCAGCCGTTTAGCTATTGAATGTAGTCGCAGTTACCCTTGCTTTTCTAAACAACCTCCAAGGGTTTGTATGGACAAAGTCTAATTAGGCACGACAACTGACTTTTTCAAAGCTTCACATATTTGCTACAGATTCGGACCAACTAATACCTTTTGACACTCACTTTTGTTAATTACATACTACTTTATCTGTGTTCATTAACGTGCAGTATCTGTCATGTGTGCAAACTCACCGTCCTGTAATTCCACTAAACCCTGTCAAATGTTACTACATTTTGTCATTTACTGGTTGAGGCGATTACAGTTATGTCGATTTATTCTAACTACACCTGCCATAAGACAAAATGTGCATAACTGTTGTGAAATGTTTCTTTATTACGCATGTTTCAAAGATGGTAAGCATTACGAAGTCACTGAGTAAATTATAATGGTAGACAGAGATGAGCAAATCATTTTTCGCGTTGATGAACTCTAAACCATGCTAAGAGTGAATGAGATGATCCAATTCAGCCACACTTATGTCACTAATCGCAATTTTCAACTCAATGCTACTTTCCTCCATCATCCACGAATGCAATCCATGAGGCACTGAATCCGCAGCTGTACATAATTTCGATTTCGCGTGACACGCTGACCGAGTCTAAGTGGTTCCCTTCTTTCGGTTGCTCTGCAGAGATCCGAACAGGCGAGATAAGTTTGCTGGTAAAGAGCGAGCCAAGCGTGCAATGTTGAGAAATTGATAATCTGCATAGGCAATGAGAGACAACAGAAATCGGAGTAAGGCAATGTATGGTTTGGCAAATTATTGCCCAGCAAATTGTATACAGTCAGAATTCACTAGCGTGTGTCACCAAGCTATGGCCTTCGTGCCGGTTGTGGCGTGCAACCTCCGTTCATCAGGCCTGCCGACTTTAAACCAGTTTGCTTGATAAACAGTGTGGAACAGGAGACGCTACGATACGAGTAACGTTTGTCATTACGTGACGCATTGTCACGAATTTACGCCAGTTATCACTTGACACCATATTATCAGTGGCCTCAACTCTCTGTGGAGCATTTATGTGAGCAAGTACACATGCCGTTCACTGATCCGTATACCATGCTGTCTTTCCGCTTACCCCGCATCACATTGGCGTAATGTTGATGGGTCCTTCAAGTTGACCCAAGTGGTATGTAAAGTGTTACTGATTAGGACGCTTTAAGTACATGTGTTGCTTTAGATCCATTTTACTCGCTAGTTGGAAATAATTGTGATGAACGCGCAAATGGTTGAGGTAAATACGTTATGGTATTGCTAAATGCATTTATGCAGCAAGTTATTTGGTTCCAAGCTGGCTTGTTGATTTGACTCCGCTAGGAAGGCTTTGCTCAAGTCTCCCAAGTGATATGCTGTTTATATATACAAATGGTTGGCGGCTTCCGGATCCGGACGTTTGTCACTGCAGACTCCACGGGGATAGCCACGACCACGACTAAAGAGGGATAATGGGGGGGGGGGTTTGCGCTGCGTCAGCCACAGCTCCAACCACACACCCCATATCCGGTGTTAACCCGAAGGAATAAGACCGGGAGGCATGTGGATGGGAGCCACGTTCCATCAACGGAGCCGGCCCACACAGCTTCAACATGCACAGCAGCAGCACTGCTGTACACCTAGCCAAGCAACGATCAACTGTCTCCTGGAACCAGTAACATCGTGCTGGCGGCTTTCGGACAGCTAGGCGATTGGCAACATTCACATCAAGCGCAGCCACACCGAGGGCATCGGGCAACCAACACATAATAAAAAATATAAAACAGCAACACTGACAAGGTATAAGAAAGACAGAACGCGCCAAGTGGGAAAATGTGCAATAACATTACAGGGACAAATTGAGCTCGATTAAGACGGTGCGGCGGAAACAGCGTTGGAAGAATAATGTATGTAAAATCAGTCTAAGCATGAGGCTATATATATATATATACATATATATATATATATATAGGAAAAGGAAGGTAAGAAGAAGAAAATTGGTAAATGCATGCATTTCGTATTGTCTCCTCAGTATCATTAACAATAACCGGTATGCAAATATATACTTAAATATGCGTGTGACCGAATAAGCATGAGGTGCAAAATGAATGACGGAAGTTCCACCCCTATGTCCAAGGCAGTCTTAAGCTGATAAATAATTGCTTTTGAACACAGGGCCGGCTTCATCCGGCTCATCGCAACGGCCTCGGAGAAACGGAGGAAGCGGGGGTTAGGGTGACTTAATACAAGTGTGAACGCTGATCCGAGCTCTATCCAGTGACGCGTAGTCAGTAGGTGTTTACCTATTGAGGAAGCTGGCGGCTTGCAAAAGCAGGGAATTTCAAGGGGACAGGGATGCTGGTCAATTTCACGTTGAACCCACCTTGGCATGCGTTCCCTTATGCAGGAAGTCAAAGACCGATTGGTTCTGCCCATGTAACTGTCTCCGCAGTCGCACACGAATTTGTATATGCCCGTATCGGTTGAGCTTCCTTCGTTGGAGGCACCGGCAAGTTACAGGTTCTTTTGATGACCACAACCTGAGCAGCACAGTAACTACTCTGAGTAGCAGCGGTTAAGCGTTTCGTGGTTTTCAATACAGTGAAGTCACCCTTGAAAGGCAACTCGATGTAGATCTTTTTCTTGGCTGTCGTATGCACCAAGTCTTTTGGCCTCGCTTTTTGCTGTGTCTCTCTATAAATCTACGTGGATAACCATTTTCAACGAGTGTTGTAATTAACTCTAGCTCGTCGGCTAGACAATCAGTCGCGCAAATTCGTCTAGCACGACTAATTAAAGTTTTCACAAGGGTCCGCTTGTACTGCACTGGTGTGAAGCTGGTGAATTACAGGTATTGGCCGGACCAGGTTGCTTTTCTGTAGATAGACCTTCTAATGAGCCCGTCATCTCTGCGACTGATGAGGATGTCTAAGAATGGCAAACAGTTCTTCTGTTCCACTTCGCAGGTGACCCGCAACTTGATATATGCCTAGTTGAGTTGTTGCAATAACTGGACAATCTGCTGCTCCGATGAACAAATGGGCAAGATGTCATCCACATAACGCTCATAGTACGGTCATTGGGCTATTTCTGCGGATTTTCCTCTTTCCATCATCAGCATGAAGGAATCGGCAAGTACAAGGCCTAGTGGGATACCCATTGCCACACCATCGATTTGACTAGATGGGGTATACTGAAAGTGGAAGCCAACATTTGCTGTACACAGAAGCAGGGATACCTTTAGCAATTCGACTGGAATTGGTAACGAATAACTAGATTGCTGAGCTAGCTCACATATTTAATCAACAGTTCATCGTAAAGGCATATTAGTAAATAGAGATTCCACATTCAAGGAACACATGACATTATTGGAGAGGTTGATTTCACCTAAGTCACCGATAAGTTGAGAAGAATCATTAAGACTATATGGATTGGACTATATTGAATTGGACAACTGTCCAATAGGTAAACACCTACTGACTACGCGTCACCGGATAGAGCTCGGATCAGCGTTCACACTTGTATTAAGTCACCCTAACCCCCGCTTCCTCCGTTTCGCCGAGGCCGTTGCGATGAGCCGGATGAAGCCGGCCCTGTGTTCAAAAGCAATTATTTATCAGCTTAAGACTGCCTTGGACATAGGGGTGGAACTTCCGTCATTCATTTTGCACCTCATGCTTATTCGGTCACACGCATATTTAAGTATATATTTGCATACCGGTTATTGTTAATGATACTGAGGAGACAATACGAAATGCATGCATTTACCAATTTTCTTCCTCTTACCGGGCTTTTCAGATTTTCTAATGGAAGTAAGTGCTTTATATATATATATATATATATATATATATATATATATATATATATATATATATATATGTCAAACTTCTGGATGTCGCGTGTTCTGTTGCTGAACGTTCCAAGGAAATTAACAAGTGACTTTTTTATCCTTAGTTCCAGCACAAACGCTGATTCTTCTCCTCCAGTGTTTTTATAATTTTTGTTTAATTATAATCCTATTTTGCTTTTCCTATATCCTTTTGTACACTTTTTCCTAAGGCAAGCAAACAAGGGGATATGTACAAATACGGACATTTTGTTCTGTCATGCAAGCATAGTGCAGAATGGATACGCGGTCCAGGATAAGCATTTTGTTTTCATCCCACGCGCGCTTGTCCTATTTCTCAGTTATCCTGTCCACCGTGATAAAGGCTCGGTGACCACAGCCCCTAAGTACCCAGTTATACTATACATACTTTGTAGGTCCAAAATGATCGTGTTTTCAGCTAACCGTATGCCAATGTTAAGGTTGCATTTCATGTTATTTTGTAATCTTTAAACGTACTAATGCCTACCATCATTCTACATTATCATGCGTCTGACTGAATATGTAATTTCTAGGAGCAGCAAAACTTTTGCAAATTTTCATTAAACATTTATATCCATACGAACCACACGGCTTACCATAACAATCAAAAAGCAGCTACGGAGCATGCTGAAGCAATTTTGCAGTTCAAGTTAGATGGCCACGATACCTGTTCTTTTGTGGATACCAATAGATCATAGTTACCTATCACTGATAAATCAGTTCATAGCAATTTTATTGGTGAGATGGATTGCACCAATTGGCCGCTCCAACGAGAATTATGTCGGTTGAATTTGCCGAGTTCGTCGCATGCCAGAAGTTTGCTCAGATCCTAATGGTAATGGAAGTTGCCAACACTGATCTAATTAAAGAAATGGAAGAAATAGCTAGGTTTGTTTACCATCCACACGCGAGCGCATAAAAATGCAGAAACATGCATGCTTCCCTTATGTGAGTTGACAAATGGTAATTATCTCTGTTTGTCTGTACTTGCATAAGCTTGCTCGAGTAAATGAGCACAAGATTCTGCAACTTTCATAGCATTAAAAAAGGTTTCAATTTTCTTCCAAATTCATGTGCAGAGCACGGACACGCTATTCAGAATGTAACTACAACATTTTGTACACCAAAATTATTAACTGCGCCATTAAGTACATGGCAATACGTTTGTATTTTGTATACTACCCATAGAAACTAACTGCATGGACATATACGTGTCTGCCTCTGTGGTAGATTGCTTCGGGGGCGTCTACCGGGCGTCCAGCATGAGTGAGCCTTCCTGTTAGCAATTCACATTCTTAGCTACCTTTTGGTTTGCTGATACGATATGTTTACAAAACATCATCAATTTTCAGGAGTAACCATACCGCAGTTGCCACGGAAGAAATCAAGAATAGAATGAAGCAAATGTTGCTTAGGAAGAATATTGATATCACTTCTGATAAAGCTGTAACAAGCTTCGACTGATTTCATATAACCTTCTCTATAATATTAGCAAATTAGTAAATGGAAAAAAGACAATTGGAATTCCAAGTTTACAGGAACAAATTGTTGTGGAGGTCAGCTTAAAAAATTCTCGAAGCTGGTGACCCACACAACTCCTTTAATCTTCCCTTTACTGAGTGAAGGGGTTTCTCACTTTGGTATCACAACACTAAAGAAGTCCGGCTCATCGATTTCACGAAGTGCTTCTGCAAACCTAGTTTGATGTTCATGGGTTGTAGAAGGGTTATGCGAGTTTTGAATAGAACTGGCTGATGGACGGTCTCCCCAACTGTCACAGTCCTTTGGGTGTCCAATTCCTCCGTAATGAATACGCTTTGCTAGAGCTTTCCACTCAAGTAAGAAAATGCAGTAGTTTTCACA